CCTACTCGAAATGGAATTAATCCCAACAATTATGAAACAAGAGATTCCTCGAAACCCAACTTATCTTCGTATATCAGTAGTAATTTGTACGGGTTTTACTTACTTTATATCGGATTATCATCATCCCCATTTGGCACTGCCCTATAAGACTAAGCGTATATTGGAAGAGAAGCCGAGTTTTGATGCTTCTTCAATTAAGTTAATATGCTTCACCTCTCGCTTTTTAAGGGAAATGTCGGTTGAAAGGAATCTTCAAATAAGTCTAAGTGGAAACCGAAGAAGGAAAGTCTTGAAATAAAGACTGTTGGATGGTGCAAAGAGGTTCTTGGCCAACCGTCCTGCGACTCTGATTAACCCATATTCAACCTTCTCTTGTGATATCACAGGCATCATCGGAGCAAGAAAGCACAAGTTACTCATACAATTGATAGATTTCCTAAAGCATGAGGATAGCCGAGTCACAGAACGGTGAGTCAAGTTGACATTCGCACCATCCAATGGCATCCTCTTCAATCCAAAGCAATCTTTCCAAAGTTGCAGAGAGGTCAATTCAGACATTTTTGCTAACCAATTTTTCTTTCAAAATGGAAAGCCGAGTCCCGCTAAAATACAAGTTTGTCTCATCCATAAACCTACAATAAGGGTGATATTAGAGAGTTTTAATTTACCTTGAAGTTCACTTAATCCGTGTGAAACCCAGACAATATCGAGACTGCAGTCCATCCAGAATGTGTTGACTTCCGTGAAAACATGAGGCCAACTTGTATGATTATGGGAAAAGGCCGTATGCGAACTTGTATGACTGAGGAACATGTATCTGTTAGTATACCCGAAGGTGTTGCTTACTTTTCACGCCAGCATACCGTCAAGATGTGAAAACGTAAATGTATCCATCTGCCATCGGGCCTTTGATAGAAGCCAAGTGACAGCCTGCACTTGGCCAGACCCAGATCTGCGCAAGACGGTGCGTCCGACATACAGTCGGAAAGAAACAAGAAAGTGAGTGTATGCCAATTCCCCTTTGTCAGGGCAGGTTCAAGTGCGAGGCACACTCCTTCTGGCCGGAGTGTACCTGTGCACACTCTGGCGTGTAAACCGGGCACTCGGGCTGGGGATCCGCACGGAACGGTATATAATCTCATCGCAGTCTTTCTCTCGCCAGTCTGTCGGGCAGAAGTCGTGTTTGCTGCTGGTTCTCTCCTCTTCGCCAACGCAACCACCGCCACCGCCACCGCCACCACCGCCGACACCAACATCAACGCCGACTCCGACCTTTGTGTGAGTTGTACATTACTCCTCTGGTCTCTCAGAGACGACTTGGCCGTTTTTTCATAGTCCATTTAAGCCATTTAACCCTGCTTGAATAAGATAGAATAACATTCATTTCTCGTTTTTACCACATTCATATTACGCTCCAACAGATCTCTGCTTTTACAAGTGTCTGCTGTACCTTAAGGTAGTCCGGAAAATGTTATTTATTTTACAGACCCCCCAGCAAATTCTCGCTGTATCCATGCATTCTTTTGAAGTTTAATTTAACTCACGTTAAATCTGGATGATCCAGATTTCAAATGTGTTTATGTGTCCTTTTTAGGTTTAGATTGCCTAAAAATGGATCCTCATGATGATGATTTCATCGAATGCATTCGATTAAAATGCCCAAATAAAATCTCGTTTTCTACATTCTCTCTTGACCTCCTTAACTTTTATCCAAGAGATGTCTGCTTTCTGTACTTCGAAGTAGCCCGGCAAATTAAATCTATTCGCAAGATCTCCCAGAACATCTCCGACGCATCTATGCCTTCTTTTGATGTTTCGGCTGATTCAGAATGGACCTGGATGATCCAGATTCATTTTAGTTGCTCGAGGCCAATCGAGCTCTATTGAATGGAATTTAATAACTGAATGCCTCTGATTTAAGTGATATACTCGTCGCTCCCCCTACTTTGATTAAATTATTTCCTATTTTCATAATTAGCTTTTGTACCACA